TAAAATCTTCGGTACAGTGTATTTAATTTACTTTTTCAAGTAGTACTGTATTGGAGTTATCCTTCTTCTCTCAGGGTTTTTTGAACCTCTGTTCTGTATTTTTTAACAATGTCACCTTTTGCTAGACACTCTATTCTTTCATTTATAATTGGATGAATATTATGGTTTTTTTATTGTCTCGTTTTTAATGTATTGAAATTACACTGACCTAACGTTCCTTTATCCCGTTAGGACATTTCACCGCGGCGCTTTTGATCGCATAACGAACGGGAGGGAGAAACCCGTCACAATCGCGCAGCTTCTCGAGACGAGGTAAAATACTCAATCCTGGACCTACGGGCCATAAGTTCTCTTATAATACACACGCTGTCGATAAACGTAGGGGTTCAACGTCTTATGCTGAACTTCGAGTTTTATTCAGTCCTATGGGCTCAGAAACGGCTTCTTTGCCACTGGCCCGTGGGGACCTACGTGAGATCTAGGCGCTAGGATAGTACACTGCGGTTGCCTGCAGCTCCAACGACCCTGGGAAATTTAACCTCTTGCCCCTTTTTCGCTTCCTATTACCGTTTGGTCACGCGCAGTTAGGTTAACCTCAAGAGGGATGAGAGCGTATGGATGTCAAGCGTTTTTTTTAAGTTTTTTATGGTGATTTTATCAAGATAAATTAACATGTGGTTTAGAAACCATGATGCTTTTCTAGCGTTTCAACATGAAACCTAAAACACCAATGCTTATTTCAAAAATGCGCAAAAAAAAGTTGAGTTTGGTGTATTCTGTTTTGAGTTTGAGGGGGAGATATAGCTTATATAATAAATAATAATAATACATTAAATATAAATATTGTAACCATGATGACAATGTATTATATAATGCCTCTAGTTATTATACAAATTATTATAAATTAATTTTTTATTATTAAAAGTATATATTAATTTATAATTATACTATACTACATAGTATACAACTATTTATGAATACCGATCTACATAGGCAGAATGACTATTATATTATATAAATTGAAAAAAATCATATTATTATATTTTAATAAATTAATATAAATATTAATTATTACTAGAAGTTATACGATTGAATATTTAATAATAAAGAATAGTAACTTCCTCACAAAAATTAATTAAAGATAATATATTAAATTGTATTATTTACATAGTAATAATATTTTATATAATAAAAATAAAATGTATGCATGATAAAATAATAACAGAGTAACAGTACGTAGATATTTATATATATTAGACGTCATATACTTATTTGATAAATATAATGTAACATAATGAATATTAATATACTATAAAATAAATAATAATATTGTACTAATATGTTATCAATAATAACATTTATTAGTAATAAAATGAAAAATTAGTGATAATATTAAAATAATCATAATATAATAATATTAAGTTATATTATAAAATATTAGTTAATTTTTAATTTTTATATAATAATATTATTATATATAATTATTATCACACAATATACTAATGTATAATAATATAACTTCTCACAAATAATAATAATATATTCTATTTATTATAGAATAATAATAATACATTCTCGTAATTAATATAATAATAATATGCAATATAATAATATATTCTAATAACGATATAAAATTACATTAATAATAATGTTGACCAAATATCCTTTTTTTGTTGGGGGTGCCATGCAAAGTGCAGCAACAAGACTACTCCCTTCAAGAACAAACGACAGCAGGATAGCGTCGAAGAAGCACCCCAGACGCACAAGACTACATCTCAAGAACGAAACCACAGCGATACGGCGCGAAGGGTGCAGCCCCGACAACATAATCCTCACCAAGCCCGACCGCCCACTTCCCAACGGAATCCCACCATACACGTCACATCTGAACCAATGCATGCCGCGACGGCGACATCGGATCTGCCAGATCCACAGATCCACGTCCCTGCTGGCTGGTTCAGCTCCGCCGCCTCATCGACCCCAATATCTTCCGCCGCCTCCGCTTCGACGACTGCCTCGTCAACGACGGCCGTGCCATTGCTGGTGGCATGTCCGTGTCGTTTCAGTATGCTAACACCTACCCCTTTGCGCTCCACGTGTCCAACGCTACTTGTGCTGAGTCAAAGAACAAACTTAGCTGATTCTTGATCTCTCTCGCTGGCTGGCTATTTTTTTTTTTTGATGCGAGGAATAGCTTTACATAGACATGGACGACGTTGAACTTGGTTTAAGTTATTTTTTTTGTGGGCTAGTTATCGCTCTTTATGTTGGGCTTGGTGATTTTATTTTGATCAACCGTTCCGTCTTTGTATTTTTGCTCCGTAGAGAGCACTGTCCACTGAATATCTCTGATATTTTTTTTTTCATTACAGTACGAATAAAGTTATCTATTAATCTTTTACTTATATTTGTCACTTAAAAATGTCTTGTGAATATTGAACGTGTTGGCTGTAGATTTTACGTAACTTCATTATGACGATGATATACAAAATGTATATTGCCCTCTCTGTATATATATATTCCCTTATATATGGGTGTTGATATGTAAATACAATTTCTTTAACACATGCAGATGTTGAGAACGTAGAGATGACTCTATTTGGTATCAATTGTGTCCTACTGTACATAAGAAGTGGATAATCCTCTATAATACGAAGATGATCCGAAACCAACCCTTAGTTTAAGGATACTATTACGTACGTTTGCTGATCCACTTGCATAATTTTTTGACTCTAGGATTCCAACCCAAGATTATCCCTTATGTTTTACGATATTAACACACACAAAAAAAGGTATCGCTATATATAAAACTAACTTACATAGTTAATATAATGGTACCGCATGTATATGTAAGTATTATGATGCATTAATATTATACATTAAAGCTTAATTGATGGTTAGATTGAAATAAGTGATTACTATTTATGGAGATAGTTAAAACAAAATGCGGATCATCGTTTTGAGAAAATCTTTTGAGAACTACTATCATAATTCCCAAACAAAGTCTTTGATATAATAGCGACACTGACTTAGCCGTACGTCTTTACCCTGCCTTTGCAGCTGCCTGTAGTTTTCATTGAACAGTGATTCCATTTTGTTGTGACGTGGCAGAATACTGTTGGAGTTGGTGTGAAAATGGGGGTGTGCATGCTTTGGCTCTCTGGGTAGATACATCACGTACGCATCGTCATGGGTTCGCCTTCGATCGGAGGGTACTGATGATGATGCGCCATGTCACTGTAGACATTTTGTGCGAGAATCCATGGATTGATCTTTGATCTAATGTTGGTAGCTAGGATATCATAATTAGGATCTTGCTCTAGACTATGTACACGTTACATCACTTTCTAGGGTCCCAAGTCTTTGCGAATACCATATTAGCCTCCAAGCCCCAAGCCCAAATTCTACAAACAGATTATTAGCTCACTTGGTTAGAAGAATGAATCAATGGCCTCTCGACGCCAAAGTCACGCGTTCAATAACTCTTCATGACATTTTTAGAAGGCGTTTTTTTCCCCCGCATATTATCCCGATTTTTATTCCCATTTATTTTTAAACCAATTAACTCAAGAGAAAAGTTATTTACGATCCATGTATTTTTAAGTTCACCCTCTTCCAAACTCTCGCTTAGCCCCGTAATATATCAGTCGAAGTTTTACTCTAGTTTTAGATATTAGTCCCTTAAATATTCAATAATTCTATATCATCCCCTTAAATCTTGGAAATTGCATATCAATCCCTAAAATCCTATAGGGTCTTGCAAAAAGGTCACTATGCTAGTTTTTTAGTTTAAAAAACTAATCATTATTGGATTAACCGCGAATCCAACATCCACAGCTACCGAACTACTCTCTATCAGTTTCCCCAAAAAAGTGTAAAAGGCCTAAGTCTTCTTGAAACATTGAATCACAATGAAAGCACTAGACAGGGTGTTGGTGACGGGGATCGGAACTTCGTCACCAATACCCTAAAATCTATCACCAATTAACATTGGTGACGAGTATGGTGTTGGCCCTATGGTTTTGATGATGATTTGTCAAACAATTTATAGCTAATCTATTTTCTAGTTTTTATGGTTTGTTTTTCTCTTTACAAGAATTCAACATATAGCGATCAAGAGTTAAAGATTCAAGTTCATGTGTGCGCTTTCTCCTACGTATAAGAGAAGTTTACTTACATCTTCGCGGTCGCCCGCCAGTTCTTCACGGTCGACCGCCAGTTTTTCATGGTCGACTGCCGTATTGACCGTTGTGTTGCAACGGCTATTTTCTTATTTGATTCTCTTAGGGTATTTTGATCTTTTCTATGTTGTTTTGGCTGATGTCTTGAGTGGGTATAAATACCCCAGTGCCTTCCTCTTTCAAAATACCAAGAGTTTTGTTTACAGTGAGTTTTATCAAAAGATTAATAAGTGTTTAAGCTAGTTTTGTTGGTCTGTTTCAAAAGAAATTTTCTACAGCAAGAAGAGGCTTGCAATTCCAACTGAGGATCTTATCCTCATCATCTTTTACAGTTCTTCTTGTTTATTAAGAAGTTTTCTAAAGTCATTTTCATATAGCTTGTTATTTCATTTTCATATCTTAGCTATATTATTTGAGTTACATAGTTTCTATTCACTTTTATCACACACACTGTATTGAGCTTATAATATTTCCATACAATATATTGTTGGGTAGTGGTGTGTGATTTAGTGAGAGTGAGCTTCATTGTGTTCTCATTTATTATCAAGAACAAATCATTGGGTAGTGGTGTGTGATTTAGTGAGAGTGAGCTTCATTGTGTTCTCATTTATTATCAAGAACAAATCATTATATT